CTCAATACAATCAACACACTGAACTCACACTGACTTGACCTGTGAACCAACACTGAAACCTTCCCAGAACCAAAACCTGCATCGAGACTTCTTAACCACAATCAACACCTTGCTGTAAACCTACAGCTCTGATACCACTTTATTAGGTTTTAATTTGTCAATTTCTTTATGTTGTTTATGAGATCTAATCGCTTTTGTGTTTGATTGTATGTGTGTGTGATTTGATATGCATAAACGTAAATGAGACAAGCAATTGTTCACCCAGATTTCGCTGCTCTACGCTCTGGGGTGGATCAAAACCACCAAGCTTCTACTATCACAATGAAGGTGAGTAACAAGAAGCATAGAGTTATTGTTGTAACGCCCGTGAACCAAAAAATAAATTTTTGGTTGGTGCGTCGATCGACACAGGGTGCGTGTGTCAGTCGACACACGTGTTTTGGACTTGTGAGAAGTTGTATTCTGGGCGTTGCATCGATCAACACAAAGGGTGTGTGTCGATCGACACGGGTTGATTTTGAACCGACAGGTTCGATTTTAAATTATCCGGTTCGCGTGGTTGGTTAGGGAAAATCCTATGGGGCAGTATAAAAAGGGAGCAAAAGTGTTTAGGCTGCGTTTTTGGGCAGAAAACACTCAGAAATCAAAGTGGAGAGAGAGGATTTTGTGGGTTGTGAGAGAGAAGAAGAGAATATCGTTTTGGAGACAGTTCTGGCTGTTTTAGAAGAGTAGAGGAACGAATAATCTAATCAAATCGGATTGGAGTGAAACTTCTAGGGTAAGTTCTCCACTCTCGTATCTAGCTTTGAGAAAAATTGGTTTGTCATTTGGATTAGTATTCTGAGAGTTATAGTTGTTTTTCCGAGAGAGATTCGTGCAGAATTGAATCTGCGATCAGTCCACTTCGTGGGAGTTTTTCTGTCGAACCAGAAGAAATTAGGAGGCGATCTATATATCGTTGGAAAGGCTCGGTCTCACGATTCCAGATCTTGTTTCCGATCATGATTCTGAGATACTCTCAGTTCTCAGCGTGTTTTCGAAGTCGGCTGGTTGTTTATGTTTTCATGAACCCTAATCCGGTTTAGGGGAAACTCCAA